GATCCCTGTGCCACTGGATAACTGGGAATGGGATAGAACAGGAGGAAATTCCCAAGGATTCTGGAATCCCAAGTCATCCCACAGGTGAAGGATAAATCCCTGTGCCACTGGATAACTGGGAATGGGACGTAACAGTGGGAATTCTGCCTCTTTTCCACATGGATAAGGGAAAAAATGGGATAAAATGGGGCGGAATGGGACAGACACTGAATTAAATCTCGTGTTCCCAGAGCCCTGGGAAAGGAAATTCCTGGGAATTCTGTAATCCCAAATCATCCCAGCATTGAGGGGTGGATCCCTGTGCCACTGGAGAACTGGGAATGGGATAGAACAGGGGGGAATTCCCAGGGATTCTGGAATCCCAAATCATCCCATAGAACACAACGAGGGTGGAATTTTCCCTCTTCCCGTCACAGATAAACACAAACCCAGCCCCAAACCCCCAAATATCCCAAAAAAGGGGACTCCCTGACACGGAATTCCCGGGAAAAGTGCTCACCCTCGACGGGCTGGGTGAGCAGGAGCTCCATGTTGCCCCGGGGTTGGTGTTTGGAGTCCTGGAGCAGGCGATAGATCCGGTGCCTCCGGTACAACCGAGGCCTCCTCCCCTCCTTGGCCAGGGGCACCTGCCACCAGCGCTCCACAACCACGGTTCCCTGGGGAAAAATGGGAATTCCCAAAATTCCTGACCCTCTCCTTGCTCAAGGGCACCTCCACAACCACTGTGCCCTGTGGAAAAACGGGAATTCCCAAAATTCCTGACCCCCTCCTGGCTCAGGGGCACCTGCCACCAGCGCTCCACAACCACGGTGCCCTGTGGGAGCAGGGAATGGGCATTCCCGACATTCCCGATATTCCTACCCTCGGGACAGGCTGAGGGGACACCTCGGGCCCGTCCCGCCGCCCCCGGTACCCCTCCCGGTACAGCCCCCGGGGCACCTCCCCGTGCTCCCCCCGGCCCTCCCTCATCCCGCCCACCCCCGTTACCCCCTCCCAGCCCTCACCAGCCCGTGGCTCAGGCTCAGGGCCCGGCTCAGGGCCCGTCCCGCCGTCCCCAGCGCCCCCGGTGCCAACATGGCGGCCCCCTCTCCCTCACGGCGCGCGAGGACCCCGCGGGCGCGCGCTGCGCCTGCGCACAACCCTCTTCACCCCCCGCCGCCGGGGCTGCCCCGCCGCGCGCCTGTTTGGAACGCAGTGCGCATGCGCACAACCCCCTTCCCCCGCTGCGCGCCTGCTCGGAACGCACTGCGCATGCGCACAACCCCATTCCCCCACCGTGCGCCTGCTTGGGACGCACTGCGCATGCGCACGACCCCCTTCTTCCGCCGCGCGTCTCCTTGGAACGCACTGCGCATGCGCACAACCCTCTTTCCCCCTCGCCGCCGGGGCTGCCCCGCCGCGCGCCTGCTTGGAAGGGGTCAAGACCCCCCCCGGTAACCGCCGGGACCCCCCCGGGACCCCCCCGGAGGAGGCGAAGCGCTGAGAAACGTTCCGTTTATTAACCCAGGACAACGAAAAGCTCGTCCCCCTGACAGCAAACAGC